TGTTGACATAAACTTTTGTTGTTGTTTTAGTTAATCAGTGTTTATGGCGTGATATATGATGATGCCTTTTGTTGCGTTGGCATTTTGTTTATTGTTATTAAACGTTCGGTTATTAAATAGTCTTTCCACATTGTTATCAAATATATTTTTCTAATTTTTAAATTCATTAAGGATTGACTGATTAAATGGCTGTTGTTGTTGTTTTTGTTGTTGTTGTTGTTAATCTAACTGTATCATACGAGTTCTGATGGTTTGAATTCTTTCTGATTTGTTTTTGAATTAATATTGTGAACTTTTTTAATTGTTATTGCGTTAGCTTATTGTTATTCAGCACAGAATTTGATGATATTAGTTGTACATATTTGTTCATATTGTTTATTTGTACATATTAGCTGTACGTACGCATTGTACATATTGTTGTTGTATTTGTTGCCATTGTTGTTATAATTGTTGTTGATGCTGTTGTTGTTGTAGTTTTTGTTACTTTTGTTGTTGTTGTTCTCGGCGCTAGGTATTGTGTTGATTTTGATGTAGTTTATGTGGGTTTTGTGCTCTAGGTTTTACTAATGCTACTACTACTACTACCATCACCACCACTACTACTACTACTGCTACCATTACTACTTCTACTTCTATTACTACTTCTACTACTACTACTACCACTACAACAACAACTACTACTACTACTACTCATTCAATTTTTGTAGTTAACTAATTAATTTATTATTATAATTGATGAGTTAGTTAAATAAATTAATTATTTATTTACTTTCCTAGTTTAAAAGAACATTATTTGACGTAGCAAAGCCAAAAATATTACTCAAACATTTTCAAATGCACCACATGCATTTAGGATGGGAAACCCGAACTTTTCCTTTAAATACTGTCTCCTCTATTAGCTACTGCTACTGTCAAAAACTTAGTAATTAATCATAATTATTGTACAAATTAGAAAAAAAAATTCAAAATAAATATCCATAAATGTTTTAGTATTAATAATATCAACTACGTTATTGTCACTGACCCTTTAATAGCGAAGTTACTGCAAACTAAATGAAGAATTGTTACTGCTGCTACTATTACTGGTGCTGCCTCGTTATAATTTCATCATGTTGTGAGAATGGGCAAGCACCACCGGGATTCGTTGTTTAGCTGCTTTTATAATATTGGCAAAAGCAGCGTTGCAATTAAAAATTTACTAATAATGATTAATGTAATAATGACAATCTTATAACCATGCCGAGACTAAAAAAGACATTAAAAAAATTTTTTTTTGGCTTCAACACAATTTTTAAAATTTGCGGAGAACATGTGTTCACACTACATGTGTCTAGACTAAACTTAAATCCGAAATAAAACAATAATAAACAACAATAACAAAAACAAATATATATTAAATTAATTAAATTAAATTTATATTAGTGCCCAGCAACAAAATAAGAACAACCACAACATTAACGCTAAAAAGATGAGTTAGAATTTGCGGATAACAAGTATAAATGTACATACACCACACACACACATACACGCGCACACACACACACATGCAACATTAGAAACAACGGAAAGTTATGTATATATTAAATTTATCAAAAATAGCAACTTTAAAAACAACATCAACAACAGCTCACAAACAATCAACAATAGCATCAATAATATCAACAACGAAAACAACAACAACAGAAACAACAACAAACAATGACAACAGCAATATTATTAGCAACATCAACAGCAATCACAACAACAAAAACAACAATCAAAACTACAAAAACAACAACAACAACATCAATAACAAATTCAACAAATCATTGGGATAAGGATGTATTTAGTACTTTAATTGTTCGCACGGAGAAATTACAAATTTATACGCGTTCCTCCTTCAATAATAACAATAATAACAACAACAACAATAAAAATAATAACAATAATAAAAATAACATCATCAACATGAATAACAACAATTGCAGTGATATTAACTGTAATAATAATAACCGCATAAAATTGTCACGAGAAGTTATAATAATTGCAACCAACTAACCTATCAACCAACCAACCAATCAATCATCCAAACAAACATCCAATCAACTAACCAACTAACTAACCAATAATCCAATCTCAACCAACCGACCAACCAACCAACCAATCAACCAACCAACCAACCGACCGACCAACCAGCCAACCAACCAGCCAACCAACCAGCCAACCAACCGACCAACCAATCAACCAACCAACCAACCGACCAACCAATCAACCAACCAACCAACCAACCGACTAACCAACCGACCAGCCAGCCAGCCAACCAATCATCTAAATGTACTCGCTTGCAACATCCCATTTCTTGTACTCATTGCACTCACAGGCTGACGATGATGACGATGACGATAAATGATGATGATAACATTTATTACGATGATAACGACGATAAATGTTAAAAATAATGATAATGATTATGATCAAGATGATGAAGACCACAAAGATGATGATGATGGTGAAAATGTACTAAACAAATAATAAAAATGACTCCAGAAGGCGTACAAAAAAAATAACAAACTAACCACATGAAAATGGTTTAACCACTTTGAATAGTTGTAGTAGAAGACGTTATGTAGGTTGTGGTGCCAAAAATAATGATGATGAACCTATCGCCAAAATGATCACAGCAGCTAAGACAAATGCGATAATGAAAAATGTGAATAAAAAGTCTTACAGAACTGAAGTCTGTAATTAATATGGTGAAATTAATGTTTAAAATGATTTTGCATTCAATTTTTCGAAAAATTTTCTTCACGAAATGAAATAGTTTATACTGGATTCAAACAAAAATTAATCAATTTTCATTTTAAAAGATGTTTGCAAGACTTTACTTCGAATTATAACTTCAACGAAAAATAATTAATGAAAACCTTTTCACAATTTGATCCAAAAATTGGTTTATAAATTTTCAATTGAAAATTATTTTCGACTTTTTATTAAAATCAGTTATTTAAGATTGCCATTTATTGAGTCACGCTTGTGAAATAAAAAATTTTATCGAGTGATAAATTAAAACTTGCATAATCTCCAAGTTCTCCAATCTTAAATGACGATTCTTAATTGCAGGTTACTAAGCTCTCTCCTGAAAGAAACTGGAGAAAACAACAACATCGTCAACAACGCCATCAAAAATGACAGTATAGACATCAACAACAGCAAAAACAGCCAATTTGACAACAAAAAAACCATCTACAACAACATCCTTTTCAACATTTTTAACGACAACAACAACATTATTGTGAACAGCAACAATAGCAAAGTTGTCAAAAACAATTCTACTCTCAACAAACACATCGTCAATTTAACAACAACAACAACAAAAACAACAACGACAACAACAACAACATTATCATCATTTATACACAAACAACAACAGTAGCAACATTGCCAACAACGAAACTATCACCAATAACATCATCATTAACAACAACATTAACAACAATACCATCAACAACTGTCAGTCTGACACAAAAAATTCTTATCCACACAAACATTTATAACATTCCCAACATCAAACTTCGAAAGACATCAACTTCAAGACAGCAATAGTGAGTTAATATGGTCAACAACATCACCACATCATGTTATTTATTTTCATCAGAGTTATTAATATTATTGTCATCATCAATATCATTATCAGCGTCATCACCATAATTTCCAATTAACACCAGATACGACAACAGTGAAGACAAACGATTCTCAGAAAATTCTACACTTAGTTACCGTAAAAAAAACAATACAACCAGTACAACTGCAAAAACTACAATACCAGAGCCACATCAACTACAGCAGCTACAAACACAGCGGCTAGAGCCACAGTAGCCACAATAACCACAGCCACAACAAACAAAACTGAGTAAAAGCCATACACCAACGGCTGCTATTTAAAGCACAGCTTAAATTTTTTTACAATTTTTTAGCAGGCCAATCAAACAGTAATAACATTTTGACAAAAAATTAAAAGCTTGTAATAAGCTTTTAAAAATGTTAAAGTTTTCAAGGTTTTTTTAATTTTGAGTATATTTTGAAATAGGTTTCAAGAACTAGAAAAAAATAATTGAACATCATCATCACTACCACCTCCACTATCACCACCATTAGCACCATCATCATCATTATCATCATCATCGTTGTGTTGCTTAGCATCATTACCAACACCAACTCTGGCGATAACGAGTATGATGTCGATTTTACTCTCTCATTTATTTTATTGGCTACCATTATCGTCACCCTTCTCCATCTCATCATCATCATCATCATCATCGTCTTCGTCGCAATCATCATCATCAGCATCATCAGTTCTACCAACATTTCCTCTCATGATTTTTTCAACATCATCATCCTCATCATTATCATCGTCAACATCATCTTTCTCCCAGTCACCATTATCACCATGGTTAGCAATAATCTTCTTTATGGTCCTTCAAAACCACTTCGCCGCACCATCCCACTTGCACTACTCTGTCCTGGAAGAGTGCCAGATCGGTACTGTCATTGCTAACATCGCCAATGACGCTAACGAAGTTAGCATCAAACTCGAGCAATACAACAAGCAGAACAACATACACAACATCAGCAACAACAAAAACATCAACAACAACATCATCAGCAACAACAACAACATCATCAGCAACAACAACAACATCATCAGCAACAACAACAACATCATCAGCAACAACAACATCGAACGACCCAATCGCGCGATGCGTTTTACATCGCTCACCCCACTGCCGGCTTATTTGAGAATAGATCAGATCACCTCTGAACTTCTTACGAGTGGTCGAATAGACCGAGAAAATATATGCCGAGATGACGACGACGATGACGACGACGACGATGACGACGCTGCGAGCAATAACTCTTTCGCCAACAACGCCGATAAGTTACCGTTGGAGAATGGCGTTTGTAAAATTAATAGAGATATTGCCGTGCAGCTGTCTGACAATGCTCCTCTGGTGATCATCAAAATGACCTTGGTCATCGAAGACAGGAACGACTGCAGTCCCGTGTTCGTACCGAACAGAATTCTACTGAAGATATCTGAGTTGTCGCCAGTTGGCACTTCGTTCGTCATTCCAACCGCCAATGATCACGATGGCTCCAAGTTCTCCGTGCAGAAGTACAAGTTGGAGACTGAGGATAAAAACGATTGGAGGAAGTTTCAACTGAATGATTACAAAGCGAAAAATGAACACTACCACATAATCACAACAAGTACCAACAACAACAATAATAATTTAAACAACGTTCATAACAGTAAAACTCACAGCAAACAAAAAAAAGCACAGAGGCACCAAAAACACAACTCAGTCCAGGCAAGCTTCAACAACGCTTCGCTACCTACGAACACAATCGTCACGAACGTCGCTCCCGAACTGAAATTAACGTTGATGGAAAGGTTGGACCGCGAGCAGAAGGATGGCTACCATCTGAGGGTGGTAGCGGTGGATGGAGGCGAGCTCCCTCTCAGCGGTACTCTCCTCATAGAAGTCGCCGTTCTTGACGAAAATGACAATAGGCCAAAATTTAATCGGCCGATTTATGAAGCAAACATAACGGAAAACGCAGCCTATCAAACAGTTGTGGTACAAGTTTCGGCCACAGACGCCGATGTAGGAGACAACGGTCGCGTCTTCTATGGCTTCCCCAGCAATGGAATGTCGACGTATGGTCGCATGTTTGACGTCAACAACATCACGGGAGAGGTTGTTTGCGCGCTTGTTGGCCGAGTGTGCAGCAAAGAGTCTATGTTATATAATCATTTTAAAAAATTTTTGTTTGTATGTTTGTTTATTAATTAAGTGTTACATTTGTTTTTTTTCTTTAGAAAAAGTTTGCGCACATAATTTTTATAGAAAATTTATATATATATTTTCTAATTTTGGCAGGTTCAATTTCTTTCAAACATTTAATTCTGTTTAAATTACTCTCGCATTGAAAGTTGCAACGTTCACAACAGATTCGAGTGATAAGCAAGTTGGACCGCGAGACAAAACCTGTGCACCATCTGACGGTGACGGCAGCCGACTACGGAACCAACAGCCTTCCTGTCGAGGTCTCCGTAGTGGTCAGACTCATCGATCAGAACGATAACGAGCCGAAGGTTGTTCGCTGGTGTGGTGTTATCATGATGTCGTTCATTTGAGGCTATTGTGAGGAAACTAACTCGTTTACAATTGTTTAATAATTAAAAACTTTTATGTAAAGTTGTTTTTGGCATAATTGTTGTTGAATTTGTTGTTGTTTAATTGTAAGACATTGTATTTTTTTGTTTACAATTCCTATTTCCTGAATAGTTTAAGTAAATTTAGCACCGCCCACATAAAAATCTGTAAAATGCATTTCAAGAAATTTTTAAGCGATTCAATTTAAAGCGGTCACCACTTATTGAAAAGTAAAATTTTTTCAGAGTTAAGTGTGCTTATTGTTCAGTCAAATTACTGTTGAGAGCTGCTTTATTGAAACGTTCCAATGAGATTTAAAGTAGATGAAATTTTATTTTTGATTCCCTCTGATAAAAATTTTGTGATCGCAATCAGTTGAGAGCGTGTGCTTCGTTCTACTTCACTCATTTTAAATAATTTAACCAGCAAGAAGCAGTTTAATTTTGAACAAAAATGTGCTTTGACTTGTTTTAAATTATAATTCGCAGAATATATTATTTATTAAAACAATAACTTTGACCTAATAATTATAAAACTTAAAAATTAAAGTTTGCCCGTTGCAGCGTCTTTTGTAAGAAATCATGAAAAAATAAAATGACAAAACTCCATAGGTTATGAACTTAAGTCAGTTATGACGATGGGTGGGAAAGTTTATAAATTTTTTACAATGATTTATACATAGAAATGATGATGGCCATGCTTTGTAGGCATGTCGATTTTCATTTAAGTTTTTTAAACTTAAAAGTTGATCATTTAAATAATTCATGGCTGTTCAAATGGTTATTTTTCAATAATTATTTCCAACGCTTCAGAGATATAAATGTCGGTAGAAATTTATAACAAAACTGTAAATTATATTGGTTTAGCATGTTGAAATTAAAAGTTTAGATTTTTTTAAAGTTTAATGTTTGAATGAAAAGTGCATTCATCAAAACAATTTAATAAAAACTAACAAACATCACAAAATTCGCATTCTATTTCTTCTCAAAACATGCTCCTTTCTATAACATGTCCCTTCTTATAACGTGTTTATTCATATATTTATATCTTCGCATCACATTACTCAGATAGATCAACCAAACAAACATGATGTAGTGAATATTGGCAATCGGAAGCATCATACACACTGCGTATGATAAACAGGAATTACCTTGCATTCAAGCCCAGTAGGGACCAGACGTTTTAACCCTCACATCATTTCGCAACACGTTGTTGTATGTATTTCATGCATGTACGCGAGTGAATTGTTTTTGTTGCCCGGTTAGTTTTAGAGCTGATAGTAAAGATGTTCAATAAAAGACTTCATAAAGTTTTTCTCTTGTTATGTTTTCCGTTGAAACATCATTACCTTAGTCGATGCTTTTGTTGCTGTTGTTGATGTTGTTGTTGCTGTCATTGTTTTGCGAACATTTTCAACTGTTGATTATGTTGTCATTGTTTTCATTGTTGTTGTATTCGTTGTTATCTTTGCTACCATTGTCTTAGAAATTGATGCTGTTACTGTTGTTGTTGCTATAGTTGATGCATTGTTGTGCTTTCAAACAATGGAGAGAGACGTTGTAAGATTAATGTTATTGCTGGCTGTTGAGATGTTTTGTCACGGTTCAGTAATGCATGATGCTATGATGAATGACCGAGTGTCGTTGTCGTTGCAATCGTCCCGCCCTCCCCCAGATACGTTCAACAAACTTGACACAAACAAATATATGGACGTGGAGCAATGTTATTAAAAATTGGATTAACGTAAGAAAATTTTATAAAGATATAACAGTAGACACAAAAGAAATACGGGGTGACCATGTACAACTTTCATACGTAATCAAACAACATTTAAAAAACTTTACTGTAACTTAGATTACAAAGACAAATTGATTTTTTAAGGTAATGGTAGTATAAAGAACAAAGCAGATGTAGTCACTCTGCGGTCGGCAATCAACCTTAACCTCACCGAATGCAATAACATCAGAAACAACATCAGCAACCACAAAATAAAGCAAATCTATCACGGTTGGCCATTATCAAAAAAAATTAGAAACAAATTTACAACCCAACAATCGACAAATATACAGATGAATAACATTGGCAGTGACAGCAGCAATCACAGCAGCCACAGAACGTAACAAGAAACAAACAAACATGAACAGAGCGTCATGCATTTTACAGAAGAAAATTTCTCCCGCGATAAAACTTTATTAAAAGAATTTCCACTCAATAATTCAATCACACGCCATGCTAAACCCCCGCGGTCACTCACGAACCAATCACGCGTTAAGGAAAAGTGCACGTGACTGCGGCCGGCCAATCAAAGCCCTTCTTTACGGGTGACCTTTTAGCATTGACGTGACAAGCAAAATGGCGAAATGTACGTAGGTGAACGTGGCATGGATGTAATTATTGTGCTGACATAAAAAGTTGATACCGAGGTAAAATTTTAATGAAAAAAGTGAAATAAAATGGCCAACACGCGGCAATTATTCTAAATTATTATTTTTGGTGAAGTTAGAAAATGAATTATAAGTTATTTTAAATGAAAACATTATCGGTTTATTTAGTGACTGATGAGAAGATGTTTGTAAAATTTGTAATAAACCATCTGTGAGATGAAATGCTCAATTCTTTTTTTCATACAACTCGCACAAGTTACGAAATTTAGAAAATTCTAATTCAAAATAACTTACAGATAAAACGAAAACCTTTTGACGAAGCTGTAAAATTTCAAAAAAAATACAACATTTAAAAATATTTCGAAAAATTTTATAATTTCATTCGAATGTATTCAATAAAAACGCTTCTCCTTTTTGCGCATCTTTGCGTCTTTCTCATCATGGCGTCTGCGGTTTTGTTTCTGTCAATCTCCCATTCAATTCATTTCAATGCGCCTGTCCGTACGAACGCACGTTGAAAATGTTTGCAGAGATGTGCGTAAGGATGTGCCTGTAGAGATGGGCGTAGTGATGTTCCTAGGGATGTGTGTAGGGATGGGCGTAGTGATGTTTCTAGGGATGTGCGTAGGAATGGGCAGAGTGATGCTTCTTGGGATGAGAATGTATATGGGCGTACAAATGTTAGTTGTAATACGCTTTGGAATCTGCCTATGGAAAGGTAGAGAGTGCGTGTGGAAGTGTGCTTGCGTGCGAAGATGTTTGCAGAGATGTGTACACGGATGTTTCTATCTATGGGTGTAAGTGTGAATGTGTGTGTGTGTGTGTGTGTGTGTGTGTGTGTGTGTGTGTATGTGTGTGTGTGTATCGGCGTATCTACGAATGTGTAAAGATTCGACGTCTCAACATGACGTCTGTCGTGTCAATCAAAAATAATAAAAAATGAACTCTGAAACAACCACAGAATTAATAACTATAACACTATAACATAAACACAATATAATGTCTGTGCGTGAATGCGTGCGTGCGTGTGTGTGTGGTGTGTGTGTGTGTGTGTATGTGTACGTTAACGTCTGGTAATATTTGCATACATAGGAACTTCAGCAGCCATTCCTCATGTCAGAGTGAAAAAAATGAAGTAAATATGCCGTGATAGGTTTAAAAATGTAAGAAGAATATTTCTGCATTTGCATGTTATTTTTATAAATTTGTTTATGTCAATCTATGCATTTGTTTTCATGATTAACTTGAAGGTTATTAAGGTTTCATATTTAATTGGTCCTTATTTTCTTATAGCGTGTGTGTGTGTGCGTGTGTGTGAGGTGTGTGTATGTGTGTGTGTGTGTGAGGTGTGTGTGTGTTCGAACGTGTATGTTTGACTGTCAGTAGAAAACAAACGACTGACAAGTCTTCTCCAATCTTTACATTGGGAAATGAAATTGTAAGTCTTCGCAATTTTCAATTAGTAATTGCAGTATTTTTCGTCTTAGCAGTAGTAGCAGTGGTAGTTGTAGTAGCAGTAGTTGTTGTAGTAAGAGTAGTAGTAATGATGTAGTAGTTGTTGTAGTAAGAGTAGTAGTAATGATGTAGTAGTTGTAGTAGTAGTATTATTAATAGTAATACTACTACTACTAGTAGTAGTAGTAGTAGTAATAGTAGTAATAGTAGTAGTAGTAGTAGTAGTAGTAATAGTAGTAATAGTAGTAGTAGTAGTAGTAGTAGCAGTAGTTGTTGTAGTAAGAGTAGTAGTAGTGATGTAGTAGTTGTTGTAGTAGTAGTATTATTAATAGTAATACTACTACTAGTAGTAGTAGTAGTAGTAGTAATAGTAGTAATAGTAGTAGTAGTAGTAGTAGTAGTAGTAGCAGTAGTTGTTGTAGTAAGAGTAGTAGTAGTGATGTAGTAGTTGTTGTAGTAGTAGTATTATTAATAGTAATACTACTACTAGTAGTAGTAGTAGTAGTAGTAGTAGTAGTAGTAATAGTAGTAATAGTAGTAGTAGTAGTAGTAGTGATTGTAGTAGTAGTAGTAGTAGTTAGAGTAGTAACAGATAGTATAGTTGTAGTGTTAATTTGCATCATTTTGATAGTAATTATACTTTGGTGAGTAATGCAAAAAGTTTGTGTAGTAGCGATAGTAACAGCACTAGCGATTGCAGCACAAATTCAAAACCTATTTCTATTGTGGCATTGTTGTATATTTTTTAAATAAATAAAATTGTGTTTTAATTATAGCATTTAAGACGCTTCCATGCTTTGAATGGCAATATTGAAATTGTGTTAAATTGATGTTTGACGTAGAGGAAATGCTTTGTCAAAATTTTAGAAAAAACTTCTTCCAAATTGTCTGTTGGAATATTAGGAACGAAAGTTATAACATAGCAAGTGCAGCACATAGCTTAGAGTTTAATAACATCATCAGATATTGTAACATGTTTGTAACTCGCGTAGAACTAAAAAATCAATTTTAATTTCGAAAATATCCGAAGTGGTCTTGCTGACGTTGCTTATATTTATATCAGTAGTATCCTATGTAAATGGCGGCAGTAGTATCAGTTGAAAATGCAGTAGCAGTTTTGGCAGTTGAAGTTTTAGCAGTTTTCATGGCTTGGTTTTCGTTGTACAAGATGTAACAAAAATTGTGGTAGTAGTAGCAGTAGTTGCAATATGAGCAGCAGCAGCAGTAGTAGTAGTAGTAGTAGTCGATGTAGTAGTAGTAGTTGCAGCGAGTGTATCCACGCTAGGATATTTTATGCATTCCTTTGCAGCTATCAATTATGATTTTATAAAGTAATGATTCAATTATGAAGCAGTTGTCTGTGTAAGAGGCCTCGCTATTTATAAATCACTTTTACGATCACGATAATTTAGTTCATTTGCAGACCTACCTATACTGTTGTTAACTCATTTAAAATTTGTTTCATTAGTGGCGAAAAATTATTTAGACGATGAATTAAATTTGAAAACTCGACTTTATTTGGAGATTCATTCATTTTCAGAACTTTATTTCAAATTGAATAAGACAAAGTTTCAAAATAAAATAATAAAATGTAAAATAATTATTGTTGTACAATTATTATTAGCTTGAAATTGATGGAAAGAATTTTTTTGAAAATAAATTCGTGCGATGCAGATAATAGGCTTTTAGAAATGTCGCCGAAGCCAGCAACGCTGAAACCACAAAATTATGTGCTTCCTACACACTGGACACATGTGCATGTTATGAACGCTGGCTCAACAAAACCAATAAAAATCAAACATAATTACCCATGGCAGAGAGTGTGAAACTACATAATCCCGAACTAATTTGATTATTTTTATATTCTTTCAATTATAAACCATTAAAAAATGATATCATTTTAATTAGGTTATCGTAAAAAGTATGTAACATTATGTTAAGACGTCACTAACATCGTATTCGTGAATGGCTGTATTGAAAAGTAGAAGAAAAAATAAAAGGAATAAAAGAAATGTAAAAGAATAAAAATAAAAAAATATGGGCGTATTTCGCTACGAAGCCAGTCCAGATGTGGACTGAAGGATATAGGATTTGCGAAATTGCCATATGATTTACTGTTGATATTAGGACGCTCATATCAAAGATTACAGCGTCTCAGATAAATTTCAAGAATGAAAACCTTGAAGGAAATAGAAAATAAGAAGAAAAAAACTAAAAAAAAGTAATAAAAGGAGCCAGTGTAAGCGGGGCTGGCTGATGCACAATCTGATTCGAGGATTTTGGGGATGTTTGACTGGGACTTAAATTAAGAAAATTATTTTAACGTCGGGGTGAAAAATATTATATCATAAAAGTACACATAATTAACATTTGTATATGTATGTTATGTCTTATACATGTATATATATATATATCTATATATCTATATATATATAATGTCTAATTGTGTAAATGTATGCGTATTTGTAATAGTACGCAAATCTTTTGTAGTAATAATGAATTATTCAGCAGGCATGTTTGATAATTTTGTTTCTACATGACATTATGACATTAAAAATTTTTAAAACAATTTACCACTCTGGCTGGCTGCATTTTCAAACAGTGTGGTTCTTTTTTTAAAAATGTTAGCGCACGAAAGAAAAAGTTTCTTTATTTGACGCGAATAAATGCAGATCGAAAAATATTTGATGTTAACAAAATAATTTTTCCAGATAAACAAGTTTAATTTTTTTTTTTTGGCTACCAAGGAGATATCCAAGTAAATGAAAGTAAGTTAAATCTTCATCAAAATTTTCGGCAACATGATAACCAGCAGATATTTTTCGCACCAAATCTCGAACCGTATACAACTTTTTGCGTCCGTTTCAACATTAATCACAACTAAATTATTTGGCTGCGGACATAAATTTTAATTTATTTCTAAAATTCAGAAGCGAAGATTTATTTTCATTAAATTCAGCTTTGAGATGTAATAAAAACCCAGCATTCAAAAAAATAAAAAAAAAATAAAAAAAAATAGAATAAATTTGGCGTAGACATTTTTTTCTTCGTGTTATCTCAGCGCCATGTTGTTTCTTCATATTTGATGATCGTTTGTTGGTACGGGATATTTATATTAATTACAAATCGTTCTGCTTGTTAATGAAATTTTTGGCCCGCCTAATCATTGAATCAATCATCGGCGCTTGCTGGCGGGAGATTTTCGACCAATCATAATTCTTTCTTTCATTTATTGTTTTGTTTTTAATTTTTTTATAATCCAATTTTGTTTGTTTTTATTTTATTTATCCGCATGAAATTTATTTTCACACACGCAATTTCATTTTTCATTTTGTTATTTTTTTTTATTTAAATTTAGACTATTTCAAAATATAACTTTAAAAAATTTGAGATTTAATTCTCAAAATATTTAGCTCGATCGGTGTGTCCATTGCCAACTGACCACATTTGTGAACCAAATATTTTTTCTCTCACCAATTCTATATTTACATCACTCATCCAACTTCCACCCACATTTTCTTCCTCTCTTTTCCTGTCTAGTTTTATCTCCTTCTCACCTAATAAAATGTTCGCGTGCATATTTCTTTATGTCCTGTTTCTTATATCTGTCTGGTCATCTCTGTGTGTGTGTGTGTGTGTGTGTGTGTGTGTGCGTTTTCGTGTTTGTGTGTATGTGTTCGTGTGTTGTATCATTTTTCCGCTAATTTGTAAAAATGTTTGAGTGTTTTTTATTTTAAAAACAATTTTTTTATTTTAATTGTTAAAGTCTAAATTGATAAAAAATATAGCAATATTCTCTATGTGATTGTTGAAATTTTTTTTACTACCCAAATTTTCTAATTCGGAATTAATGATTGCAAACTTGTTTAATGTATCATTTAAAGTAATGATATGATTGCTTCAATAAGTTGCAAAAAGTTTTTTTCCTTCAAAATTTCTTTTACCTAAAAAAAACAATATATATTTTTTTCTTCATTTCGAACGAAAGAGAGTTGAGGTCTTAAAATGGATTTGTTTCTGCGAGTTGCCCTAAAGCCAAGAATTCGGAGATTAACAAAAAATGTTTGAAGGGCTTAAAAAATGATTAAGAAAGAAAAATTGAAGGATAGATAAATTCGTCTTTCTGCAATCTTGAAATATGCTTCTAAGCATTTTAATTTAAAGTTTCTCATCTGAACAGACATTTATAACTCGCGATAGTCAAAACGTATGAGGAACTGCTAGTGAAAAATTTGACGGTATAAACTTATTGCGCCTCAACTATGGTATCGAGATTGAAAAAAAGCAACATCAAACATAGACAAACTCTATATCATCTTCGTTTGAAAATAATTTTAAACATCGTTCTTATTTTGATAGTCAAAACAACATCACTGCCAACAACATCACAGCAGCAGCAACAACAGCAACTACATACACCATAGAAACGCCGCATATTCTAAAACATTGTTAACAATAATATTTTTGTCATTAATAGCTAACTCTGTTATATCGTTATTGACCAAAACAATCAAACAAATGTAATAAAAGTATCATTATAACGTTATCATCAACAAACCATCACAAGAAACAACGCAAACAACATCGCGACACAACAACAACATTGTCAACGTACAACACCATCAACAACAAGAACTCAAGCAGCATCAATAACACAAACAGCACCAACAATACCAACAACGACGACTCAACGACAACAAAAACATCATCAACATCACAACAGATTTCAGTAAACACATTATGGGAATCTGATGCCGAATTCATCCGCGTTCATTCACACGTTCCAGAAGGTTACATCATACTCACTATCACCTCATCATATTCCTCATCACCATCTTCTTATCAACGTCATCTCCGTCAAAACCGCATCATATTCATCATCAACTTCATCATCATCTATTGCCATAATCGTTATTATTATCAGCGTCATCATTATTGTTATCATTGTTATTATTATTATCATTATCATCTTTATTTTTATAAATACTTTTACTATTTTTCTCATTTATATCGTCAATATTTTTATCCACGGTGAATTGCGCTCTTCTATGAAAATGCATTGGATTGATGAATAAGTCTGAGTATGCGCTGTCACTAGTCTGTTTGTAGTTTTGTTTGTTTGTATGTTTTGTATGTAGTTTTGGTACATATGCATAAGCATCTTTGTATGTTTGTACGGTTGTGTATATTTTTTATAGGATCAATGTATACTTCTTTGTATAATTTGGCATATATTTGTGTATTTTGTTCGTATTTGAGTATATTTCTGTATATATTTATGATTTCTTTGTATATGTTTTTGTATATTTTTTTATGATTTTGTATATTTTTTTATATGTTTACGTATATTTATGCTTATTGTTGGGTAGTTTGTGCGTTCGAAAGTGTGAATTTTCAGTTTTTTGTTAGCAATGTCTGCCAAACCCATTCAGCTGACTCAACTAATTGGCTTGTTTAATTTTTCACTGTAATTACTCCATTGAAATTAATAGAAGAACGCATAGGCATATTTTTTTCATTGCTTTCTAAAATTTCAAAACTAGAGCAATCTTTGTCGTTGTTACTTTTTGCTTAACCGATTAACTTACTCAGCAAGAATTAATCCCATTAATGCGATAATTTCATATGTCAATCAACAAACATGCAATATTATTATAACTGTTAAAAACTTTATTAACTAATCCATCATAAATGTATTATATTATTCGTTATTAAAAGGTTTCAAATTTTTCTGTAAATTTATTTTTATCATTTTATCCACCTAATTCTCCCAAACATCTCTAGGTACGTTCTTGGGTCACGTTATGGTAGATGATTTGGACGAGGGGGTGAATGGACAGTTCAACTGCAGTCTGGACAGCAAGTATGCCGATGGTTTTGCTAGGTTTGGTCAATCCAGTGGTGGACTTAGGCCCTTTTTTTAATAAAAGTCAGAAAGAGGACCCTTTATAAATAAAATCAATCAAAAAAAACCAAAAAAAAGGTCGTCTGTTACACTACGACAAACCTTGACCTTCCTGTGAACATTTTGCCCGCTTCCCGTGAAAATTTAAACATTTTTAAATTTTTAGCCAACCATCAAAGTTGTCTAGATCCGCCACTTGGTCGATCCAGAAATTTGGTATGGTAGGAAAGGACATGAACATGTGTTAAATATAGCGTTTTATGCGTGTATAGGTAAGTTTATATTTATGATATGCAAGTCAGTGCTTGTTATTCGGCGAGTGATGCACTGTACATATTGTTGGTATATTCAATGTCATTTGAGGTGTTGTTTGCATATCGTCAAGGGCGCCAGAATGAGAATGTAGCAGCCGAGTTTGAAAATCTGAATATTTATTTGAGATTTTTTTTTCAAATAGATTGGTAAAATCACTATTGCTATCCATTTGATAATGTACAAACTAACGCACTGTAATTTAGAGTTGAGAAGATATCTAAAAGATGTTATTTTTTTAAATTTTCTTTTGTAGGTATTTTCGCTTAGCACCCCTAAACTTCAAAGAATTCCACTTGGTGACGTCATCGCTGAACGACCTTCAGATGGCCTTCAAGAACAAATATCGACACCATCAGCAAACAACGCAACAACAGCAGATAAGAATTAATATTATCTGCAAAGTTGGTTAATTTGTCTTTAAAATTTTCGAAAAAAAAAATTTCAGCCACGCTTGGAATAATTTATTATTATTAATTTATAATTAATTATATATATTTATTAAAATATTATCATCATTTATGACATCATCATTAACATAATTTTAATCATGTTATTATAAACTCGTTTGTGTAATCACCAACGAAGTGATCATCATCTGCAGCATTACCACAACCATGACATCACCAACTATCATTATCACAACTCTCATCACATCATCATTGTCATCATTATTATAAATTTTTCCAGCATCATCATCACAATCATCATCATTGACATGTGACCGTTTTTATAACCATGGTCGTCATCATAATCATCATCATCATCATCATTACTGTTATCTCCATTATTGCTATCATCATTATCGCCATCATTATCATCATTATCAACAACTTCATTCTCGAAGAACAAAGCCTGGATTTGAACCCGGCACCTCAGCCATTTAGATCAATAGCATTATCAGTAGACACACTATATTAAAACCTCCTCCGAAGCCATCTCATGCCAAATATATCATAACTCACTGGCAGATAACGTTACATAAAACTCTGTTACATGCATATTACATTTATGTATATATTTATTTATATATTGTCTGTATATACTTTTATAATTAAACATACACAGATTTACACATATACAAAGACACACACAAACACAAAGAACCTCTTATTTGCATGCATACACACTTACACACACACACACACACACACATATATATATATATATATATATATACACACATACATACACACCTACATACAGCTTACATATCTTCAAAACATTACAATTCAAACACACATACATTTACACATATACACATAAAGACACAGATATTTACACAAATAGGCTATCATATAATGTATATATGTAATGCTGAGCCATCCTGAAGGATACATGGAGTTTGATGTAATATTTGATATGATGTGATTTGTGTGATATAGAAGCAGCCTTGTCTTGTTTTAGTGACCTAGGAATATATACAAACATAAATTTTGGTGAGTATGTTTGTTTGTATGTATGTATGTTTGTGCATGTATGTATGTGTGCATGTATGATGCATGTATGTATGCATGTATGTATCTGTGTATCTATGTATGTAATTATGTGCGTGTGAATGTATGTGCATTTATGTGTTTGTGTATTGGATGTTTTGCTTTGAAACTCAATTTTCTTCTCTATGTTATGATTGAAATGTTGTTTATACATTTTCAATGTTGATTTTTCGTTCTTTTTTTCTTATTTTTTGACTGTTTTTTGTTTAATGTTACATTTAATAACGTTTTTCAGTTATTTTGGCGTCGTTAAAGTTACTGTTGCCAAAACTTTTAATAGAAACGTGTTTACTGCTATTTTGTTTATGGCATCAGTTCACGATTGTTGATGCTGATGTTGTTGTTCTCCCTGATGTTTATCACTGCTGTTCCAGTATTATATATTGTTTTCCATTGTGTTGGAGGGTTATTGTTTCCCTGTTAATCTTTTACGTTCGAGCGTGATGCGTGTGTGATGATACACTTTTTGTTGTTGCATGTGGGCTGTTATTTGTGTTGTTACATGTGTGTTGTGTTACACGTGTGTTTTACACGTTGTTGTTACATGTGTGTTGCGTGTGTGTTGATACATGTATATTTAAATAGTCGCGTATATTTTATATTGAAATTCAATCAAAAATGAAGATGAAGAACTTGCTATTTTAACACCACAGGATTTCGGCATCCCCTCCAAGCAGAACGTCAAGCACTTGACAATCAACGTCATAGATACGAGCGACAAGACGCCTCGCTTCACACAATCTCACTACAACGCCTCGTTGCACGAGAACAACGAAGCGCCACAGCCTTTGCTCAAACTGAGCGTCAACAGCGTCAACTTTGATAACGACGACGAAGCCACGACCACAAATCGTAAATTTACGTTCTCCTTACTTAATCACGATCCGGAAAAATTTTCAGTTGATTCCAACAGTGGGTGGATATCAGCTCTGCAAAGTTTGGATAGGGAGGAGAAGGATCTGTACGAGTTTCGTGCGGTTGTTGTCGTCGACGCTGTTGAAATCAACGGCAAGGAATATAAAAGTTATGATAGGAAAACTGCAGGTGTAGCTAAGCATCAACAAAATCACCATCTGCAACAACAGCAACAAACCATGACGAAGCTGTCTTCAACCTGTCAAGTGACGGTTAGGGTTGAAGACGAGAACGATTGTGGACCGATCTTCTCGAAGAATGAGTTCATATTCACAATGTTTGAAGAAAACCTGCCTGGCACTGAAATTGGAACTGTATATGCGTTTGACAAAGATGAATACCCAAATAATCAGATGCACTTTGAATTAATCAGTGATGAATTTATTGTCGACGATAGGGATGACATTGGTGAGGATAGCGTTGATTTTAATATGAATATTCATAACATCAATGACATCATTGCCGACGATTATCATAACGAACAATATCGGACCAAAAAAGTTTTTCGAATTGAAAAAAGTTCAGGAAAAATTTGGACCGAATCCGTTCTGGACCGAGAATTGAAGAGCGATTACTATTTCAAAGTGCTTGTGAGAGATCTCAACAACTCGACCATCACCAACATTTCCACGGTCCTCATAAAGCTGATCGACATCAACGACAACTCTCCAGTTTTCAGATTCCCCAACAAAACGCACCACCACATCTTGGTCTACGTCCCTTTGCAAGAGAACAGTTATCTGGCCACCATATCCGCCACTGATGCTGACTACGCCGAGAACGCTGACATCCGGTACTACATAACCAGAGGATCCGAAGGTCTGGGCTACTTCAAACTTGACTCAAAAACCGGCATCTTAACATTAGCTCGCATCGTTAACGTTGAAGATAGAAATAAAACATTCGTATTCACTGTTACAGTTTACGACAAAGGAACACCGCCACTATGGACCACGGAACTGGTCCATGTTGAATTCAAACCGGCGACCATTTTCACAGCGCGATCTCTATTCTATCATCTTTTCAACAGAGAAGAATCGAGATCGAACAACGATATAATACCGACTGTCATCGTCTGTTTGTGCACACTCGTCATCATAGCTCTGCTGCTAGTGGCCATCCTGAAAGTGGCTAGTCAAAAGCCCAGATTCGTGTCCGATTTTGACGTGACGGATAAAGAAATTTCATCGAAACCGGTTTCGAACGATAAAAATCGTTATAGTTGCATCGACAACAATAGCAATAAAGCTGTGTATCAAGTGAATGGTGGTGTAGATGATGGAGACTGCAAGGTTATTATTGACGCTGCAAGTGATAGGAGCAAATGTATCTCTGTTGATACAAAAAAAAATTGTAATGTTTATAAAAATGCATACTTCAATTCAAATACAAACAGTACCAACAACATTAACACTAACAACACGGCTAACAACAACATCAACAACACCGTTCTTAGAAAAAACTTGTTCAACACTCATTTAAACACCTTACACAACAAAGAGCTTTCTACATCCAAAAACAGTAGCCACAATAACATCAGCAATAATAACAACAACAACAATAACACTAACATTAAAACCAACACTAATAACATTAACACAAACGTCACTGACAATGTGAGAGATGATAACAGGTCGAACGATGAAAAGCTGCAAAATGCAAAATGCTCCATTGTTATGGTAAAGAACGGAATGGCGGAAAGTAAAATATGCGACATTTCTTCTCTGTTACCCACGTAAAAAATAAAAAATTCTTCTTTCAATTCGTCACCGTATTTTTTTATATTTTACTTTTACATTAATAATTGCTGATTAAATTGATGTTGAAAATAACTCTCTATATGAACATTGATAACACCGATAAGACTTTTACTGCCACCCAACCAATATTAAAAACATTTCCTTGAAGTGGCTAGTATGAAACTATTTCTATTCTGTCTCGATTTGCTGACAGATTTTTTTTTTAATTTATGTATCGTCTTCGTATAAATAATATTATTAATGCTATAACTACTGCTATTTGACACGCTGTAGATCCACTGTCACAGCGATCACTAATATAATTGAATGAATAATTCTGGGATTTTTTTTCAATAAATATTTTATTAATGATAATAAAATTTTTATAACCTATGTTTGTGATTACTAAGACAATTGTAATAAAAACTAATGATTTCAAATGGTAACAATAACAAAATATAGTAAATGAAAAATAATAAACTGTGTTAATTGAACAACTTGACCGCGATAAAATCTTATTCATAACACATCAACAACAAAATTATAACATTCTATTATTGTAATTTAATACAATTTTAAACAATTATCTCAAAATAAATTATCCGATTAAAATAACTAATTAATAATCATGACGTCATAATTTTAATAAGATATTATGTTAATTTGGCGAGGTATGTCTGCGTTCACTAAAGTAATTTATGGTAATTATTTTTATTAGTATGCCAATAAAATGTAATGTTCTATCGTTATTGTTTGATTTTAATTTAATTTTATTTGAATAAGACCGTTCATTCCAATGTTCTTGCTATCATATTTTTAACTGTTTTTCTGATTATTATTTTATTTAATAATTGTCTTATTTCAAAATGTGAATGATTAATTTATCTATTTTTCAACATTTTGAATAGTTTTGTTTTTCTTATTTTTTTATATGAAATTAATAATTTTGTAAAAAAATAAGTGTTTAATATGAATTTTTCAATGTTTCTTTTATAACGAAAAAATTTTAAAAAGTCGTCTTTGCTATTAATGATCAGGATTGAATTGACAAACGATTATAGTCCTTTATGAGATTATTAACTTGAAACACATTTTAAAAACATAAACGAACAAATATTATAATTTTAACCTTCCAACAAATATTTATAAATAATCGAACTCATCGAGACTAGCGAGTAATTTCATTTTTAATTCAATCGCTGGGCAGATTGTTTCAAAGTTACTCATGAACAAAATTCACCAAAGACTGAAATATTGAATAAATATAAATGTTACACGTGTTCTGTATTATTGGCTGAAAAAAACAAACAAAAAGAAAAAAAAAAATTTTCAACACAGCGTAATTAATCAGAAAACAACACAGTTGTAAGTTTTGAAATGGATTTTATTATCAGACAAAACTTGATTTGATATTGGCGTGGTGTTTCAGTTGTGTTTTGCTCAAAAGCGTGTTCGTTGCTGTACCCTCCGGTGCAGTCGAAGCCGGTTGAATTGTGTTGATGCTGTTGTTGAGATTGTTGGATTGTGTAATTGTTGTTGATGTGTGGAATGCGGGCAATAATGGTATAGTGTTGTTGTTGTTGTTGCTGCTGCTGGTGTTATTACAGCCGATCTGTTGTATATTGTGTTGTCGATTGAGAGTGCTTCCATGAAGGTTTGATGGTGAACATGTTCGTTGCTGTTGTTGATGTGACTGTTGATGTTGTTGCGGTTGATGTTGTTGCGATGCATGTTGATGCGGCTTATAATGTTGCTGTGATGGCTGTTTTGAAATAAAACTTTTATCTTGAATTAGATGTTTTGAATGTTCCGTGTTCAGATCGATTTGATATGATAATTCAATTTGTTGCTGCAGCTGCTGCTGTTGACTACATTGGAGGTTATGTTGCGCTTGATGTTGTTGTTGTGGTGATTTGAGATTACAATCGAAATTTTTTAGTAGCTGTTGTTGTTGCTGATGTTGCTGTAGTTGTTGCTGTAGTTGTTGCTGATGTTGCTGTAGTTGTTGCTGATGTTGCTGTTGTTGTTGCGGCATTCCAACGCACTGATTGTAGTACATTTTCTGTAGTGGGTGTTGATGTTGAATATTCATTAGATGTTGATGTTGTGAATATTGTTGGTGTTGTGGCAAACATTGTTGCTGTTCAGACGGCTGATTAAGTTGATTAAGTTGTTGCTCTCTTGCTAGTTGATGTGTCTGTTTCAGCTGCTGCTGGGATAGCCGTTGTTGTGGCTGTTGTTGCTCTTGTGGTTGCTGTTGTAGCTTTTTTTGTGACATTGGGCAGCGAACACTGGTGGATTCCACCTTGACATTTCCGACAGCTTCAAAAAAATGTGTTCAATTAACTTTGAAATATACAAACGGAAGAATTAAAACATTTTCACAAACTTCAACCTGCTTCATATAAATAACTAAAAAAATTTTAAAAAATTACAAAAAACTAATTTTTGATAACATTTTTTTTATTTTCTGACTGATACCATAGCATCAGACTAAAACTGTCAATGTATACATCCAAGGACCTACATGTAAAAGTTGAAAATATCGGAAGATCTTTAGTTGCCGAGTTGTTGATATCGGCAGCACTTGATGTTTGCATTGTTGTTGCTGTTCTCACTGTTACTGTGGTTTTTGGCGATGTAAGCTGCAACTGCACTGATGCTGGAGTTATTGAATTTGGTAATGTTTTAGTTGTTAGTGTTGTTGTTGTTAGTGTTGTTGTTGTTGCTGATGTAATTGTTGCAGTTACTGATGACGTTGTTGTTGTTGTTGTTAGGAGTGATGTTGCCGACGGACATGATCCAGTTGACTGAATCACAAGTGGAAGTTTTGAGTCTGATTGATAGACCTGGAATTTATATGGAAATATTCATAATAAAATAAGAATAAAATCATATTAAAATCATAATAAAATCATAATAAAATCTTATTAAATTCATAATAAAATCATAATAAAATCATTTTAAAATCATAAAAAATTTCGAGTAAAATTACGGTAAGTTTATTCTATAATTGGGATAGGGCCGTCTAAGAAGAGAGGGGATGCCAGAGTACGCATGACTTCAAAAACTATCATTAATTATTAATAATGATAATAATTAAATTTTCTGTCTTTTCACTATTTGTAGACGAATTTCACCAAAAAACAAAAATTTTTGTTTTAAAGCATGTCGAGACATCGCAAAACTGACCAAAAAATGTAGATTCTGTAATAATATTCATCTTCTCTCGATTCTACCACATAGTAGCCAAAGAATGCAACCGCAAGACAGATGTTTCTTTGCTCCGCTAACAAAAAATTTTAGGCAGCAGAAGTCGAAAACTGGTTAAAAAACAATCCATGAAGAGGGATATCTGTCTACCAATTGACATCCATATATGCAAATGCATTTAGAAAAACGGCGTCCACTTCAAATGCATTTGAAAAATTTTAAATAGCTGGAATTTGTCCTTTCAATGATAATCTTTTCACTGAAGCAGATTTTTTTTATCAAGAACTGCAGTAAGAAGTTCACCAAGACCTGAGAATGATGTGATTAAGGAAAATATTTTTGTTGATCCTAACCTTGGGTCTTCAACCCTTCCTATAAAAGTGAACGAAATTTCAACTCTACCCAAAACAATTGCAAATAGAAAAATTTTTGAACAAGAAGTTAAAGGTAAGCAATCTGAAATATTCACCGGTTCACCATTTAAGCAAAAATTGAAATAAAATCTCACAAAAGACTAGAAGAACGCTAAAAAAGATAGAAAAAGTCCAATTTCAACAAATAAGAACAATCGTTGGTCACTTCATGCTTGCAAAAAAGTGTTTGTTGAGCCAATAACAAAGGAACGGATTCTATAAAAACTTTGTCGTGAATGAGGTGCACGAAAAATGCACCTCTCTTCTCTATGATTTTGATTTTTTAAATGTGACATATGTAATTGATATGGATTTAAAAATTGCGTACACTTGTACTTCTCAGTTTACATTCAAACAAATATTTTTTTGTCATTTCAAAAGGTCTTCTAGAGAAATAAAACCAGACTCGAAATAATAAAATAAGTAATTTAAGCACTAATGAAGCATAGCGGATACAACAGAATGAACCTTGCGGAATGATACGCATTAAATTTTAATACCTCTAACACTCCCAAATACCTTGACTGCTTCCAAAAACCAGAAATTTTTTTTGTATAACTTTGTACAACTTTCTATACAAGCTTTAATGCATCTATTGTCGATAAAACGGGCGATTAAAGACTCATGTAGGCTGAGCTCGGCCAACCGCTTTTAATTCTGTTTTAATAAAATTTTAACTCTCTTTTAATATTTCTTTACAGCAGTTTCATGAAATTATGAATAACATACGTTTGAAACTTAACGTTTAGGTTTTTATAACAATATAATTTTAAAAATTAATTTCGTATTTATAAACTTCTGTATTGCCTTGTATATTTTAAAGTTTCATTTTAAAACCTTC